CTCCAAATAAGAATGTGGATCGTATTAATTATGTGCACTATAATGTCCTGAGATTGGCGAACCTGACCAGGGACGCAGTTGAAGGGCTTGCTGAGCAGTTGGGTCCAACATCTTTAATGGCAGTACAAAATCGGATGGCGTTAGATATGTTGTTGGGAGAAAAAGGGGGCGTTTGCGCGATGTTTGGGGATATGTTTTGTACTTTTATTCCAAATAATACAGCTCCCGATGGCTCTGTGACCCGAGCGCTGGAAGGTCTGAGGACGTTGTCCATCACAATGCATGAGCATTCGGGAGTGGATAACCCGTTGGAAGCATGGATGACCTCTGTCTTTGGGCAATGGAAAGGTTTCATTATGTCAATTATGGTTTCTTTGTCTGTTTTTATTGCAGTATTAGTGACATGTGGGTGTTGTTGTGTGCCTTGTATCAGAGCTTTGCTTGTAAGACTCATCAATCGTGCTGTGGGAGAATCTGATACAAAGGCCGACACCATGATGCCCCTTTTGGGAAATGGGGAGTCACAGTATGAAAACATTATGGTGAGAGATTTAGTTTAGTTTCATCTGCCATAGAGCAGATAACAAGGGGGATTTGTAGAAATGTTTAGCTTATTTTAGAGTTTAGAAATGTGTTAACATAGAATCTAGAATTATTGTAGAGACACTGATACTGCCCTCAATATAATAAAGGCCTGATTGTGTCATGAACTTAGGAGTAGAGTATAGGAGACCCTCCCCAGTTGAACTGTGAAAGTAAAACAGAGAGGAGTTAATGCTGAGTGGAAATTCCCCAGAGAATGTTTGGGTGGGGGTCTCAACATATATAACAGGATAACTGTGGTCTGGAAGGAAGATGGGTTTTTTATGACCTCTAGGGAGTTACCTACACCCACAGTGTTTTAACTGTCACGCACACACATCCACACGCACACTCACTCATGTGCGCTCTCATAGGCATTCATGTGCTCGTGCACATAGACACAGACAGAGTTTGCAGCACACTGTGGGGGGATTTTATGATAGGGTCCCATCTATAAAACTGTGTTTCACAGACAAAGGAGTGAAGATTTTGCAGAGGGGCACCGGCCTGGCAAGTCTTCGCTTCTAGAAGATGCATACTTAAGTGAGGATAAATGAAGATGAGTAAAGATGAATAAAGTTTTGTGAAAATGACTACTGAGTCCGGTGCCGTCTCTGGATGCTCAAGGAATAAAAAGAACCGGGGTAAAACTGATTTCGTAACAAGACTCACACAACCGCAGTGCTGGGTTACATCAAACACTGCATGGACACTGTCACCACGGAAAAGCGGGTCCGGTTCTACCCCAACCGTAAACCCTGGATGACAAGCAAGGTTCAGGCACCGTTAAAGGCACGCAACTCTGCATACAGAGGGGACCAGGACATGTACAGCAGAGCAAGAGCAGACCTTAAAAAAGGCATCAGAGCAGCAAAACTGGACTATTCAAACAAGCTCTCAGATCACCTCTCTGATAACAACTCCAGGAAGGTATGGGAGGGCCTGAAACACATCACCAATTACAAAGCCAATGGGACAAATATAGATAATATGGACATCTCGTTAGCGGAGGAACTTAACCACTTTTTTGCCCGCTTCGAGAAAACTGCAGTCACCCCCACCATGCACACCACCCTGCCCACAGTGTCCTCTGAGCACAGCCCCCACACATTTAGCCTCCAACAACATCAGGTCCGCAATGTGTTCAGAGCAGTAAATCAGAGGAAAGCTGCTGGCCCCGATGGAATACCTGGTAGAGGGCTCAAAGCCTGTGCCGACCAGCTGGCTCCTGTGTTCACCAGACTATTCAACCTCTCCCTGACACATGCCTCTGTCCCTCACTGCCTGAAATCATCAACAATAGTCCCAGTCCCCAAGTCCACCACCATCAGTAGCCTCAGTGACTACAGACCCATCGCACTGACTCCAGCGGTTGTAAAGTGCTTTGAGAAGCTGGTCCTAAAACACATAAAGGACAGCCTCCCACCCAGCTTCGACCCCCACAAGTTTGCCTACAAGGCAAATAGGTCCACAGAGGATGCAATTTCCACTGCTCTCCACTCCGCTCTTCATCACCTGGAGAATCCTGGGACATCAGTAAGGATGCTCTTCGTTGATTTCAGCTCAGCCTTCAATCCCAGACATTCTTATATTTTTTATATATTTTATTTATTGACTCTATTTAATTTGTAAAATATGTGTATACACACACACACACACGTAGAAAAACATTTACTATACACATCCAGAAATCTTTTATTTATTTATTTTTTGCATATACTATTATATATTGTACTTATATTTATTAGTTTCAGATTTAGCCATTCGTATATTTTGCCTGTTTATGTTATTGTATTTTGCACAACTCTGTTGCTTGTGAAGCTCGCACACAAGAATTTCACTCGCATGTGCTGTACCAATGTACCTGCACATGTGATTTGACAATAAAAAGTGATTTGGTTTGATTTGATTTGACAAGCTGGTAAACTTGGACTTCCCCCTCTCCACATGTGCATGGATCAAAAACTTCCTCACAGACCGTTCACAATCAGTCAAGGTTGGCAACCAGCGATCATCCACCCTGTCACTCAGCACTGGCTCACCACAGGGATGTGTGCTGAGTCCACTATTATACACCATCTACACCAGTGACTGCACCCCTACGCACCCCTGCAACATCATCATCAAATTTGCAGACGACACCACTCTGATGGGGCTCATCACCAACGATGATGACACCGCCTACAGGGATGAGGTCCAGCGACTGTCAGAATGGTGTAACTACAATAACCTCACCCTAAACACCAAGAAAACCAAGGAAGTGGTCATGGACTTCCGCAAAACAAGAACTGATCCCCCTCCCCTATCCATAAAAGGTGACTATGTGGAGAGGGTGTCCTCCTTTAAGTTCCTCGGCACCCACATATCCGAGGACCTATGCTGGTCCACAAACACATCAGCCCTAGTAAAGGAAGCCCAGCAGCACCTCCATTTCTTGAGGGTTCTGAGATGGAACAGGCTGCAGACTGAACTCCACCTCCATCCTAACCACCACCTCTTCAACATGCTGCCCTCTGGAAAAAAGGCTCAGATCCATCAGGTGCAAAACCAACAGACTAAAGAACAGCTTCTTCCCGTGTGTAAAGACTTCCCCAACACATCCACCCTGACACTGCTGTTGATCATCTCTGTGCAATATTTTTGGCTCATGTGCAATTATTTTGGTCCACACCATGTATATAGTTCCGCTCACATATGTATACATATACACTGTTTTTTTTTATTCTATTTATTTAATTGTTTATTTATTTTCCGCCTTTGTTGTATATTGGTTTCTCTTCTTCTTACTTTAGCACCTTTGTGGTTCAGCTACCCAATTTCACTGTGCAAGAAACTGCACAATGACAATAAAAAGCTCTAAGTCTAAGTCTAAGTCAAATATTATGTTAGTGCGATCTGCCTTATTACAAAACCTGCCATTACTGTGCGTTTAGGTGACCATGATGAGAGAGACAGACAGAGTCTGGCTCAGATGCTGGCAGTTCTCGCTGCAGTCTACCGGTAGCGTCTCCTTTCAGGCCAGGATAGACGAATGTCACCGAGCAGTGACTAAGTTTGTGGTCAAAGGCTTGCACCCATTTGCCACAGCAGATGATTTTCAGGTAAGTGAATGTGTTTAATTGTAGGCAGGGACATTACTGGATATTCTTGTGTAATTGCTACAGAATAATTTATGTTATACTTTGTTATTGCTACAGAAGAATATTTATTTTATTATTTTACATTTACAATTTTTTTTCCTGGGGACCCTGTGACACCCCATTGAAGAGCCGTAGGCTGGATCTCTTAAGATCTCACTGCTGGGTTTGTAAGGCCATGTTACTGAAAATCTTACGTGAAATCTAGGTGAAAATCTTATCAATACTCATCCCTAGTCACGTATAATGATGGTTTTGTAGCTGAGTTCTTATCTTCTCGCATTTCTGCAGTCACCCACTAATCTACCGAAGTTGAAACTAATTTTTAACATATTGTTCAAACTTATATTTTCATTTACCTTGGCTATGGAATAATACTTTAATCCTTAATTATTTGAAAATAGGAAAAGCTTTGTTTTAGCACTCTGACCATAAAGCTAGATGGTTTCACAACTTCACAACTGAAAGTTTACTCACTTGCAATTGTGATGACAAGACTTCTGCTTCTCTCTACCTCACATCACCTGACAAGGTAGTGTATAGAAACACAGATAGTGTATGAAATATGCTTAGTGGGTGATGGGAATCCCCCACCCAGCAGCCTAAAGGATATTTCCAGACTGCCTAATCCAGACCTCTTTTTCTTTGGTTATTCTTTGTATTTTGGTCTTGTGATGGTGTCACAAATTCAGAAATAACCCACTTTGAACTTCTGTTTCCTCTGTTCATACATCATAGTATGCATTAAAATAGATGTTTTTATAATATTAAAAACATTTGAAAGAGCCTTACTTTCTATATTACCTGACTGCTAATTTTCACTACAAGTACTACAATACTACAGTGGTTCAAAATGATGCCTATTGCTTTGGATCTGCAGAAAGTTAGGCCTAACTCACACAGTTATGAACATTAAACTCAATGAATGAAATTTGTTCAGTATTTCTTTGGTTTGGTTTTACAGAAAAAAAGAATTTAAAAAAGTAATGTAAAGTGAATTCAAGGAAACAGTGAAGGCTGTAATAATTAAGAATTTCTGTTTGAACACATTATCTACTGTTCCCTGATTCAAAGCACAAGGGGTTGATTTCAGGGTAGTGATGAGGGCAATAGTAAAGAGGCATTTATGGGCAAACACATTTTTACTTTATTTTGTTTCTTGGTTTAGTTACGTCACGGATATGTGAGTAATGTTGCAATCTGAAAATATAACACTGCTTGTTTGGGCTGACTTACTCGTAAACTGCTGCTAAAACAGTAGAGACCTCGTTTTAGTCACTATTATGTCACTTTGACTATGTTGGCATTCCTGGAGCCAGACTTCAGTATTTGAAATGTAACAATAAGCTTAATAGATTTTCTAAACCAGGGGTAGAATAAGGCATAGATGATAGGGTTGAGGCACGAATTAAAATAGAAAAGACACAAAACAAATGCAGAAGATGATCCGTTGAGGAAGGCATTCTGGCCTGTGAGTGTGACACAATAAAATGGTAAGGCGCATGACAAGAATGCAATTACAACAATACCAAGAGTCCTGGCTGCTTTCATCTCTGATTTCTTTGGATTTCCCTTCCTTGAACACTGGTATGTGACACCTGCAGTATGAGTCCGCATGGCCCGAACCTGAGACACAACCACTACAAATATTCTCAAATACAGAACTATGATGACAGTAATAGGAAGTAGGAAGTTCAAAGCAAGATCTGCAACATATTCAATAAAGTTAATATGGACAACACACTCTCCCACACAAGAATTAAACCTGCTTTGCTGTTTCAAGTTGTCCTTTAAGAGGAAACTACCAGCAAGGGCAGAAAAGCTCCAACACAGTGAAACACAGATCTGAACTCTTTTTGCAGTGACTTTGATGGGATAATGCAGAGGATCACAAATGGCCACATAACGGTCAACTGATATCAGTACCATGGTTCCTATTGAGGAAGAGGTGTTAATTGTGCCAATAACATAATACAGAATACACATGAATTCACCAAAATACCAGCAGCCGTCTATAAACATTATGTAAAAGAGCAAATAGAGACCCACAAAGAAATCGGAGACAGCCAGAGAGAGGAGGAGGAAGTTGGTGGGATTATGGAGCTGCCTAGAGGAAAAAAAAGAAAAAAAGAACTTGTTATTTGCAGCATAAATTCATAGTTGTTATTTTTTTTTAAGTTTTTCCTTAAAAAAAGCTATTAATCTTTTAACTTTATAAAATATGTGGCTACTTGAAGTGGGAGATGGAGATGATGACCAGCAGGTTAAGAGTTGCAGTGAGCACAGAGATAGAAGATATTATCATGTAAATGAGCGTGGAAACTGAGACAGGATGCAGAGCCTTTCTGCAAGAGGAGTTGAGCAGATGTGGAAAGCAGAATTCAACCCCCTCCATCATCATCACAGGAGGTGAGCTGATTAGGTTTATCTTGTTCTTTTACTCCTCCCATGTTCTCTTCATTAAAAAAGGTCCCTCCTTCCACATATTTCCCATGTTGCTGTCTGTGTTTATTGTGCTATGGTGTGTTGATATCTGTGCATTCCTGTATTATCCTTCTGTGTTACACATTTCCATGTTTTTTTTCCTCGCTACGTAGCCTGACCTGTCTCCCCAATGTGATGTTTGTGTATTGTATGTACGGTCGGCAAGGTCTGTCATCTAGGTTGTGGGCAAAAGATCTGCAACTGACAAATAAAGGCTGTCTCATCTCATCTCATATTGAGCCCTATGTACATTTGCTCCATAAGGGTTCACAGACCAATTTTAGTATCTGTAATGGACAATGGTGTTAAAAAATTGTTTGCCTCCTTCCTGAATTCCGTTTTTTTGTATATTTGTCACACCCAAATGTTTCAGATCATCAAACAAATTATAATATAAGACAAAGATTACACAAGAAAACAAAATGAAGTTTCATAATGAAGGGCTTTATTATTAGGGGGCAAAAAATCAAATTCCAATCAAGCGTGTTGGAGGAATTTTGGCCCACCCATCTTTGCAGAATTGGAGGGTTTTAAGAGAAGATACGATAAGGTAAAATAAGATAAGATAAGATAAGATAACCTTTATTAGTCCCACACGTGGGAATTTTGTTTTGTCACAGCAGAAAATGGACAGTGCAAAGTTATATAGCAAAAATTAGAGAACACTGGAATACAATAAGAATATAAAGAAAGATACTGTACACAACTTTACAGAATAGAATAGAATAAAATAAAATACTATATGCAATAGAATCAAATCAAATCAAATAATATATACAATAGGATAAAAATAGAATACAAATCCTATATACAACTGAGTTAAAATACAACTTTGTCATAAAAAGAGTATTGCACATGTGTGGGTTTGTGTGTGTTTGATCAGCTGCAAAAGTCTTTTTGATTGGGGCGATCGTGGCTCAGGAGTTGGCAGTTTGTCTTGTAATCAGAAGGTTGCCGGTTCGAGCCCCAGCTTGGACAGTCTCGGTCATTGTGTCCTTGGGCAAGACACTTCACCCATTGCCTACTGGTGGTGGTCAGAGGGCCCCGTGGCGCCAGTGTCCGACAGCCTCGCCTCTGTCAGTGCGCCCCAGGGCGGCATCCTTCAACCGGACAAAAACTTCCCGCACCATGTCCATGTGCTCTGGCCATGTTGGTGAATAAACTACAATATCATCTTAGTAATCCTCACAGCCATGGACACCCAATAGCACCATATTCATCAGTCTTTGGAACGTGGCCGGAACATTTCTTAACCCAAACGACATCACAGTATATTGCAGGAAGTGGTCTGGTGTCACAAAAGCAGAGATCTCAGCCGCCCGTTGTGAAAGTGGCACCTGCCAATAACCTTTCAAAAGATCCAGCTTTGTGACAAATCTGGCTGAACCCACCCTATCTACGCAATCATCCATACGTGGGAGCGGAAAAGAGTCTGGTTTAGTGACGGCATTTACTTTGTGGTAGTCATTACAGAAGCGTGGAGTTTGGTCAGATTTAGGCACCAAAAGGGTAGGTGAACTCCAGGGGCTGAAGCTAGGGACCGCAAAACCATTCTTCAGCAAGTATTCCACCTCCTTCTTCATAACAGCCCGCTTTACTGGGTTGACCCGGTAGGCATGCTGCTTAATGGGCCTGTGGTCACCAACATCCATATCATGCTCAAGCACGGTGGTTTGAGTCTGTTTGTCACTAAAAAGCATGGCATGGCCACAAATCAGACTATATATGTCCTGCTTGAGGGGCTCATCCAAGTAAAACAAATGAGCCTCAAGATCCTCCAGGATTTTTGAATTCTCTAAGTGTCCCCCAGAACTTGGTCCCTGGTGCTCATGCAACCCATCCACCTCAGGTTGGTAGGAGGGTGATCCCACCGTCACAACAGGGGAGCCCATGTCGGTGCACTTGGGGGTTTTCCTATCATACCTCTCCTTCATATTGTTCTGGGCATTAGAAAGCGAGCTACATGCCAACTCACACGCAGTGTGCAACCTCTCCCTAAACGAAATCACATAATCAAGTACATTGTGCATGGGTCTCGGCTGGTCTGCAAGCCACCTCTCCTGGAGCAGACGTAAGGGTCCACGCACAGTGTGTCCAAAAACCAACTCCGCCGGGCTAAAACCCAGGGACTCTTGTGTGGCTTCTCTAATGGCAAACAGCAACAATGGCAGGCCCACATCCCATTCTGAATCAGTTTCAACACAGTACTTCTGCAACATGGCCTTTAGAGTCTGGTGGAATCGCTCCAATGCCCCCTGAGTTTCTGGGTGATAAGCACTAGACACCCGGTTAACAGACAGTTCAGACATAACTTGAGCAAAAACCCTAGACAGGAAATTAGATCCCTGGTCGGTTTGAATGTATTTTGGTAACCCAAATGTAGAAAAAAACTGAACTAGTGCTTTCACAACGGCTTTTGCCCTGAGCGATCGCAGTAGAATATCTTCTGGAAACCGTGTGGCCGCACACATTATGGTAAGTACATACTGGTAACCTGCCTTGGTCTTCGGCAAGGGCCCTACACATTCCACTATGACATGTTCGAAGGGCTCACCTATTGCAGGGATAGGATGTAAAGGGGCAGGAGGGATGACCTGATTGGGCATGCCATACACCTGACAAACATGACAGGACCGACAATAAAGAGCCACATCAGATTTAAGCCCTGGCCAAAAAAAAAAAAAAAATAGCTGAGCACTCTGTCATACATTTTTCTAATCCCTAAGTGGCCCGACAGATGATGCTCATGGGCAAGACTCAAAACCTGGGGTCGGTACTCCGTCGGCACCACAATCTGAGTGACCACATCACCCTCTAACCCAGACACCGGAGTCCACTTGTGCAACAGAACCCCGCGGTCAAATTGGTAGGATGCAGGACCAGGTACAGCCACCTGCTGCTGGGCAGCAGATCGGCAGGCAGACAAAGTATCATCAGACTGTTGAGCCTCAACAAGCTGCTCCCTGTTCACCGCCAAACACAAGTCCTCTGATACTACACTAAAAACTTTAGATTTGTCACCGTCTACCTCTGGGGAAGGGCTATTATGTGAGTCAGAACCATCCAAGAACGTCTCAGATATGAGAGATGAGATTTCTCTCAACTCAGGATGCCACCAATGACACAAGTTTCTCTCCATCTGTGCTACCCCCACGTGGGCAAGCCCGTGGGCCTTATTCACCTTCTGTTTCGCCATTTTGGCTGTTAACACGGGGCGCCCGTCTGGCCCCCTCCACAAGCGTCCATCCTGCCAGGCTCCTTTGTTTTTCCACACCCCCTTTTCCTCTGGGGATGCCTCCTCCTGAGCCTGTTTGACTTCCTCAGTCATGTTAGTGGACACTTCCTCTTCTGCAGTTACCTGTATCATTTGTCTCTGTCCTTTGTAGCCTGCCGCCTCCTTTGCGGCTTCATCTGCTTTCTGGTTTCCTTTTGCCACCATGCTGGTTCCTTGTGAGTGCGCTTTGCATTTTATGATACTCACCTCATCTGGGTCAGCCAAGGCCTTCTCCAGTTCCCGGTTTCGATGTCAGGCATCCAAGGCAACTCAGCTTTAAGATTTCGAACGCCAACTTGCTTCATTAGGCCCCTTAAAGGGGCAGTTTTACCTGCATAATCCGGAATGAACTGTCTGCTGTAACCTGTCAAACCAAGAAAAGAAAGCATTTCTCTCACAGTTCGCGGTTTTGGATGTGTCAGAATTTGGTCTGTGTGTGTGTTCATCAAACCCGCTGATTTGTGTGCGATTACCTGGCCAAAAATGTTACCTCAGGTCGAACTAACTGCAACTTTTCTTTACTCACTTTGACGCCACCCTCTGCCAATCTATTCAACACAATGAGCGAGGATGCTGCACAATCCGCTGCTGACGGGGCTGCAATGAGAAGATCATCAACATACTGTATTAATGTACATCCATCAGGCAAATTACATGTTGACAGGGCCTCTTTGAGCACCTGATTGAAAATGCCTGGAGAAAGTGCAAAGCCTTGTGGCAAACGTGTGTATCTGAATTGCTGACCTCTGTATGTGAATGAGACAATGTCCCTGAGTGACTCATGCAGTGGAAGACAAAAGAATGCATTTGCCAGGTCAATACACGTGAACCACTTTTGGTCACACGTGATAGCTGATAATGCTATGTATGGGTTTGGTACAGGCGCAGTGTTAGTAAGCAGCATGGCACCACCACGTCACCAAGGAGACGAGCCCAAGCACGTGTAACCACACATGCCGGGAAAACTGTGGAGTCGCCAAGTCCAGAAGAGGTATGACAAAAAATATCCGGAGTAGGACATTCAGTGACTTCAGGAGTGGCCGGAAACACCTTTCCCCCAGCCAAGTCGTTTCCCAGACTAAGATCAATGCCTACAATTGGCAGCTGATCTTGCACCCCCACCCGCACTGCGCCCGATACAAAGGGCGAGGTCAAGGTAACAGTATGAAGCGGCATGCGCAAAATACTCATCTTAATCCCCCACACCAACAAATCAGAGCCACAATACGACTGCTGAGAGAAAGGCACAATTCCACGCCGCGCTACAGAATGCTTTGGCCCCCGTATCCCTTAATATGGTGATTGGAACCTGGTCCGCTGCATCACCAGACAGTGACAAAGAACCCACAGAGACAAAAGGTCTGAACACCTCATCTATCGCCACCGGAAAAACCCCATCTGGCACTGGCCCAGGGCGGTCCACAGTAGAACAACACTGTACTGGATGTGCTTTTAGTCTGCGATACCTCCTTTGTCCTTAGCACTGGACAAAAAGTAATGAGGTGACCGAGTTCATGACAATAGAAACATCTGCGGTCCCCACCCACCCCTTGAAAGCGGGGCAGATCGTTTCTGATGGTACGCTTCAGGCACCAACTCAAAAGCACGCAACCCAGCAGCCTTAACAACATCATAATCCAAACTTTCAGTTGCCGAGAGACTAGCACACACCTCCTGAGCCCTACCCACCAGCCGACATTGCAGCAGCAAG